TTCTTAATTTGGTTGAAATAATATAATAGAATGATGTAAATAGGCCTAATCTCAACGGTTAATACTTTTTAAATTACAAAAAAATAATTATCTATTTTTGTATAACTATCTCATTTTGTCAACATGTAAACTTAAAAGTTCAAATGCTTTTAAATAAAATTATGACTTATTTCTAGCTATTGTTATGAAAACTAATTATTAGAAATTTACCTAACCAAATATTTTACCAACATAAATCAAAAGCAAATAAAAAATATCAAACTGACCTACCTACATAATCGTATCTCGTACATAGACAACTCACTAAGTTCCAATATATTTTGAATTTTTGTTAATTAATATAAATAATAATATTACAAATACCTGTTAAAAATTTCAAGTGATCTATATTCCTTTATGAATTACGAAAAAACAAAATTTATTTTTGTCAATAACTATTGTTGAGTAAAAATATCCATATTTTTGCTGTAACTAGTTAATTATTTGTTTTTCTCATTAATTAAATGAATCAATGAAATATAGTAAAAACGTTTCCACATCTTACTCATCCTGATTATAATAATATTATCTATTAAAATTAATACATTAATGATACTTTTTGAAATACAATAACATTTTTAAAATAAACTATGGAAAAAATCAGTAGCAATTTTTCAAAATTTAAACTTCAAACGTAAATAAAAAAATTGTTAAAATGATTACTGTTGTTTAATTTTGTATATATAAGAACAACTTATGATAAACGTTGAACTAATTTTTAAAAATTAACGTTTTGACTTATAAACAAAAATGTTATTGTTCATGTATCAGAAAAATGTAATAAAGTGAAAAATATCAAATGTCTATAAAGTATAAGTAACACTATCAAAACCAAAATATTTTTAAATTATATTAAATTATCTATAAATTGATAAAAAGTAAGTAAAAATATTTGTTAAAACTTTAAAGTCTCAACAGTTATTTATTTTTAAAATGCCACTAAAAATTAAAAACAATTTTAATAATATAGGTACTGGTTTTGCGCAAATATAACAATTTTTTTTTTTTTTTATTTCTCCCCTTCCCCCGATTATTTTGTCAAGTACAGGAAATTATTAAATAAATACCCAAAATACCTACCAAATCTAATTTTCTACCAGAAATCACTATAAAAGTCAAACCTAATTATAATTTATAAACTTATTAATTATTAATACATTTTGTGTAAAACACCCACTCCTCTTCCTACACAAAAAAAATCTCAATAGTATCAAAGTTCAAGTATATTATATTTCCAAAAACTAAAAAAAAAATTTTATTTATGCATAATCAACATTTAACATGTATAATTTTCATTTTCATATCACGCAAAGAATCGAAAAATATTATTAAACACGAATAAAATAATACTGATAATTGTACTTTCATTACTTTGATCATTTATTTATAAGTAACAGTATAGTCTGTATGTGTAATATTGTTTACCCTACAGTTGGGAGGAAATTTTAATTGATTGCCAATCATCACGCTAAACGCTTTACAGATGCATTTCAATAATTGCAGTAAAAACTTTTACCACTTTAACTGCAGTTGTCCGATTGTTTTAAAAGTAACGGGACTATAGTAATGATTACAAGTGAGAAATAATCGCTAGTGGAAAAATCAACACATATAATGAAAGTTGTAACACTTACGACGTTTTACGTGCTATGACTGACTCTAAATGTTATATCTATAGATGAATAGAAATGTAGACAATCGACTACAAGTTAACGGAGTAAACCACTGTAGCAGATATAAATAACATACCTACCTAAATAGCCGTAATATGGCCGATAAAATAACTGTGGCACAGATTGCAGAATACTGTGTTAAAAAAAAAAAAAAAAAAAACCATAAATAAACCGCTTAAAAATTGACACTGATTGAAATGTAAAAACATAAAAACGAATAAACAAACTGCTCGTCGTCTACACGGGGCATAAATAACCTACATATATACAAATACGTAAAGAATGATAATACCTGAGCACACTTTGACACGTGTATTATTTTCGTATATAAATATTACGGCTACTACACGCACTATACTATGCTTATACAATGTATATATATAAGTGTATGTGTGCGTGCGTGCGTGTATGTACGTGTTTTTACATTTCACAGCACCGGGACGTTGGAATTTGTGTGGTAGAGTTTTTGGGGAAAAAAAGACGAAAATTTACAGCCGGCAATAACTGACTTTTTGTTTTTTTGTTTATTACTATTAACGTAACATATACACACGCGTGACGATGAAACAGGGCGTACAAATATATGGCATCGCACGTACAAATAAAATAAAACGAGAGAAAGAAAAGTCAATAAAAAAAAGCTTTGAGATTCCATTTGTCACCCCCCCGGCGGCCACGAATAATATGTGTATACAGCTAGGGGTTTGCGCGCGCAAACGGATTTTACGAGCCGTGAAAAGACGGGTGTCGACAAGGCGGCGGCAGTGATTGAAGTCTGGCGGTCGGCGGTGGTGGCGGACTGCGGAGAGTTTATTGGTTTATGAATATTTCGTATTCCGATGTGTATTATTGTGTGCAGTGTACGGGAGTCCAACAAGTCGGCGAGCAAAGAACGAACAAGAGAGAGTAGACCAGAGCGGACTTTCGTTCCTTTTGCTTATATAATGTGCGCGCGTGTGTATGTGTGTGTGTATGTTTAAACGCGCGTGCGTGCGTTTTACGGCCTTCTCTGACACGAAACGAAACGGTATGATTTCACCATTAGCGGATTAATGGACACACACACCGTCGACGGGTACCGACCGATTTATTATACCTCCTCCTGCTCATCTAACCCCCACACGCATGTATACCGCACGAGCACACCCTATTTCAAACACACAACACACGACTGCAGTATTCGTAAATGCGTGTTTGTGTGCGTGCGCGTATCCTCCCTATACCCTCGGAGTCCATCGGGCTTATGCCACGGGGTTAGAGTAAATTGAACGCTAAATCGTATATTATATATACATGAACATTATAGCTGTAGCCGCTGAGCAAAAAGCGCGTGATTTGCCGTCTCCGCACAAAATACATCAAGCACGTGCATATTATATAGTGCGCCGTGCGCATGTACGCTATAGTGGCGGTGGTACAATCATACGCCAAAACGTAATTTTTTTGTCGTTTTTTTCACCCGTCATCTCCCAATCCAAAACAATGGCCTTTTTCTATGTAAAGCGCTTTATATATATATATATATATGTATGTGTGTATACATAATATTAAATTACACGCTTTCATATAAAATCAAACTACCAAATACCGCGAATTCTGCTGCAAAACAGTATATTCAAAAATACGCATAATAGGAGTATCTCCGGTGTACCTATACTAATGTTATGTATACTTAAAATGCTTTTTATATATTACAATATCATATTGAGTATCATGATATAGAGCGACCTATATACTCTATAGTCCATATTAAATTAAAATTCAACAATAAGACTGACAAATTACTTGTAACTCCTAACACGCTAAACTAGATGAAATAAAATAAAACGTTACATAATAACAGACAAATTCCTAGAAATTTTCAAGAAAACTTTATCAAAAATAATCTCATAATTAGTGTGAAAAAGTTTACAGTAAGACACATTATTATCAATGTACTAAAACTGATCTTCATAATAGTAATAATTTAAAAAAAAATATATTGTTTGGTAGGCAATGATGCAATTCCAATTGTACCTATTGTGTAATACAAATTTAAAAAGTAGCAATGAATGCGTTCGAATTTATCAAAAAGTATTTATAAATAATTTTTTCTTTTAAGTTATAAGTTTTAACTAACGTTATTAATTAAATAATAAATATACCCAGTCTGCATTTACGATACACCAAGGTACAATAATAAAATAAGATTATACAAAAGGGTTAAACAATTAAGGGAGCGTTAAGAAAAGGACTTGAAACGTACTAAAGTCCCTTGCCTCTAATATTCCATTGCACTTACTATTAGGTACACATTAGCTCGAGTTCTGCCACCTTTTGACCTCATTATTAACACCACCGTTAATGAATATAAATCTTGTGTAGGTAAATAGTAAATCTCTACTCGAAGTAATAGTAACATAATATAATACTATAATATGTACATTATAGTACATAGATAATGATTTTGTGCATTAAACTAGTTTAAGAGTTAGTGATACGTCATAAGGTTAGGTTAACCTAACCTAACCTAATGCTTAGTGAAATTAATCGAATAAATATACACTCATGAAATAACTCTATTTGCTTACTTTGTTGGTACTATTATTTATGCAGACATTACACAGTTCTTTCAAGACCAATACATTTTCAACAATATCATATTTGCATATTATATCAGTTACCACTTATTCTTATCGACAATGTACATTCATCGTTTGATTGTAACAATTTAAATATTAAGATATTTCATGTTGTACTCATAATACCTAATCGCAAGGAAGGGCGAAAAAATGAACTCTTCTGACATCAGAAGGCATGAATAAATTGGTTTTCATTCAGTAATCCCTAGGTCAACGGGATTACAGGATTATTAGATACAACCCCTCTACTTTTATTACTTTTCACGTACCGAACATACGGGATAGGGAGTTCACGTCATTTGATAAATTATAGTACAAAATTATAACTCCCGAAAGCCCAGATATTGTACATTTTATTACTTACAAAATAAATTAGTATACCGACAGTATAAGCACTTTATTGCATTTCTTTTGTTCCGACTATGTGTAGACATAAAACTTTTGCGTTTTTTTTTCTGCCCCGCGGCTTAGGTATATAAACCAACCGTTATCATTACATATATATACATATTAAACGCAAACATCCAACATAAAACATATAAGCAAGCACGCTTTAATCATTTAAAATATAATATATTAAACAATATATTTATTTAAATATGTAAATAATTTGAGATTTAAACCAAGATAAATCAATTTTTAGAATTAATATTTTTAATAAATATAGGTTTGGTTCCAAAACCGAAGAGCAAAATGGAAAAAACGCAAGAAATCAACAAACGTGTTCAGGAGCCCTGGTGCCCTATTACCGTCCCATGGACTACCACCTTTTGGGTCCATGTCCGACAGTATGTGTCCCACATCAATGTTCAGCTCTCCAGACACCAGATGGGGTGTGACGAGCATGGCCACGGGTATAGTATATATATTTACTACGCTTGTATGATGCATTTTATACATTACCATATTTGAATTTATTATATAGTTAATATTCCTACTTGTAAGATATATTATAAGTTATAACATATACTTAGTTACCTAATAGTTATAAAGGTACAGTATCTTGTACATGAGTTCAAATAGTTCCTCAGTAAAAGTCTCGACTTAATTTAACTAGACTAACTATATGATAAAAAAATGTTCATTGCAATTAAAAAAAAATAAATAAATAAATTCAAAACATTCTTAGACTAAAATGTGTATTAAACACAAAATATGCATATTTCGTTTATTATCGAATATACCGGATTCATATAATAAATAGTAATTTCACAAATGTACACTGAACACATGTTATCTTGAACTTAAGCCCAGCTAAATCATGTATCATAAGAGCAACTAGACGATAACTAGGTGCATCATCACCCGAATATGTATATAACTTCAGAAAATAATCTCAAACATTTCATATTTCAGGAAATTTAATTTTAATACAATTCAAAATATAAATTTATTACAAAATCTATTTTTTGGATTTAATTAGGAAGTTATACAGATTACAAAATACTGTACATGCATTATAATTAAATATACAAATAAATAATAATAATTAATATTATTATATTTTAATTCATATGATTAGAATTTTATATATTTTCCATGTCAACCTTAAAACAATTTAAAGTTAAAATACGAAACATTCTTAGGACTCAGTCAACTGGCTGGCGGTACAGTTACCATGAGCGGATACAACCATCAGAACTCGTCACTCAGCTCTGTGCCGATCACGACGATGGCAACCAACGCTCAGAACATGTATCAAGCGCATTATGGTCTCAACTCATTAGGCAAGTAAACACATGCAAATTAAATCGTTGTTTCGTATAAAAAGTAGTAGGTAATTAGATTTTTTTTTATAAATATTTTAAAGTTTTCAAGAGTAAAAGTGGTAAAAATAAAAACTACCATTGAACTTTTTGACATGTATGTATGAAAATGTATAACTTTAACCCACTCCTCTCAAATAAAAATAATATTTTTTAAGTATGCGCCTGATTATAACAATATGATATCCGAAATTCAAAATAACATATATGATATACCTAGGTACCTAATAATAGAACCTATAGTCTATATTACAGGGTTGGCCACAACGAGGCTCGCAAGCCGCATGCAGCTCTTAAATTAGTTTCGTGCGGCTCTTGAACTAAATTTAGACTAAAATTAATAAATATAAAATTTGTTTGAATCGTTAGAAACGTTAGATAGCATTTTTATTACCATCGATTTTGTTATCATTACAGTCGTTATTAGGTATAGATTGGCACGGCGGCGGTGCTCTTAGTATGTGTAGCCAAAAATGTGTCTTCATTTCATAAATATCGCTTTACAATGCGGCTCGCATCAAATTAGCTTTATAAATTTGCGGCTCCCAAAGTTAAGGTTAGTGGTCACCCCTGGTCTATAATCACAAAATATATTCTTTTCATTTATTTTATACATTCAATAACATAATTTAAATCAAAACTCTTCGTATGCTTATATTATATTAGGTGCATTAATTATAACTAAGAGAGATTTTTATTTCACTATTATGGTTGTCAGTTTTATAGTTTATACTATTTTTTTTTTTTTTTTTTAATTAATTGTCGTGTATATCTACTGCGATATTATTAAGTCTTATTTTTATATGTAATAATAAATAATTTGTGTCCAGTAATAAATCATAAAATTTTATGACACGCTTCTGTGTTTAAACTAGCTTAAATAGCAGTGTAGCAAGAACCACCTGAGGTGAAACAAGGCGACGCCCTGCCAAATAGGCTTAATAAAATACATTTAAGGGCCTTGCTAACCAAACTTTCTTGATTTAAGGACTTCAATCGCTTTTAATCTGTACCCAAAACTCAGCTATGGCCTATGCAAATAGTTGCATCATAATTACCTACTTATAATAGAAATTTAAAATATTAATTGTTTTTGTTATGGTTTATGTGTTACCTTAATGCTTAAATTTGAATTTTTCCTACACATTAATCAATGGCGTTTTAAAGTCTAACCTCCCCCTATCCAAAAAAAAAAAAAAAAATTAATTAATAAAAAAGCCAAACTTAGGGAGCCACAGCACTTTTACCGTGACGAAAAAAACTACTAGTTATTTTTTTTTATTCAAACCAGAGCTCGAAAAGTTTATTTTTAAGTAAACAACGTTATTGTTTTAAATAAATTTTTAAATAATAAAACGATAATATTATTGTCATAATAGACTTTTTTAGTATCACTATTTAATAACTTAATTTCTATGTTTAAGCGGTATTTCGCCTCCTGTAAGTCCTCATTAACAACTAACGATAAGACGTATTCGCAATCGTTTATTTTTATGACATGAAAATAATCTAAATAGATAGTTATAGCCTATAGATATAGCATTAATATTGTTATATCATAATTCATTCATAAAATAGAATTTTCGTTCTGGCCATCATATGTCACATCAAACGAATAATACATAAACAGCAGAATTACCTTTTAGTCACATTTTACAATTACCTTTTGTTTATATACCTACTATTTAGATAATTTTTAAAAAATAAAAAGGTTGTTTAATGTATAAACTGTTTATATTTAATTCATTTAAAGTTAAAAATTCACGTATCTATACGACAAAACACACCATACTAATTAAAAACAAAAATAATGTATAGGTAAAGCTATATATGTCGTCCGACCAAAATAAGATTAGATAGTAAATTTACGACAATTCGACAAATAATCCAAAAATGAAAGGCGTTAAATGAATAAATATCGTTTAAAATTCTCAATTCATAACATTCCTAAAAATCTAAGAATGTAATTATATGCATTATTATCAAAATATGCAACAAAAAAATTATTTTATCATTTAATCAAGAATACGACAAATCGTGGACATATCTAATAATCAATAAATTTAAATTAAAGATTAAAAACATACAACTCTATAGAATATTAGAAATCAAAACCCTATACATCAATAACATTTGGTGCTCTATTCTAATTGTTAAATATTGTTCGTACAATAAGGTAATATAAATATATTGTGATGATATTTACAGATAATGTTACGTTGTGCGAGTTATATGGGTAGTCAGTGACCAGGACACCACGCGCGTTGCATTAATGTCATTAAACGCAATTAATATGTAGGAAGGTAATAAAATGTGCATTTTCATTCACTGGATATACCTAAACTTTTATAGGTATATAATATGTTATGTAAACATATAATACTACATTATAACCACTACAGCCTACAGACCATCAGACCATATTTTACATTAATATACTGTTTTTCGTATATATTATACGCCTAATCTAACTTCTATACACGTTAAATCATCTATGTATCTTACATTGTGTAAAATATTTTAACATGAAAGTGTGAAAAATAAGTAAACATATCATTGATATAAGTATATAACACTACCTATACGTTATATTATATGCTTCTCGGCTCGGACACAAATAATTTTTAATATACACATTATGTTAATGTTATTTGTTTTTAGACTAAAATTATTTTATACCTAAAAATTATAACTGTGGTGTTTTTTACGTTAGATAAAAATAATTCTTTAAAGAATTACTTACACATATGAATGTAAATAATTTAAAAATTCAAGCTAAAATACAAAAATTTGGTTCGTTTACATACCTTTACTTAGTAGTCAGGATTGATGACATTTCTTTAAATATATTCAACGGCTGTCAATAATTTACCAGACAAAGCTTCATTCAGAATCTAAAATAAAATTGCCAAAATATAATATTTGAATGTTTTACACTTTTAATACATTAATGACGTACGATTCTGTTTTTAATTTATTTATATCTTTCAAAATACTATATTATGTGTATACATAATTTATTTATAATTTAATAAATATATAAATATTTATTTTATGTGACTGATAAGTTATTAATTATAATAATATTACAAAATAACGTTAAAAAAAAATAATGTATGTACATGTGAAACAAATACACAAATACTACCTAACAATTATATCAAAGATCTTTATTCAATTCCACAATATAAAATAGATATTAATAAATTATCTATTATTTATTTAGTATTGAATTATCGAACCATCGGGATAAATCATACGAGGATGAGGGTATATATTGTAAATAAAACAAAATTAAGTAATTCAACAAAATATATTTATTTAATATTTATTAAAAAAAAATTTCAACTCGTTGTAGTCGGTTGATAGATCGGTGTGGCGACGACATTGACAGTTGGCCCATGACTCGCGCATTATATTTTCCGATTACCCATATTAAATACGATCAATCGTTATCAATTTATCATCATCATCATAATAATAATAATAACAATAATAACAATCAACATATGAGTAATGATTGTTTTAGACTAAGTATAAAATATGAATTAATGGTAGAATCAATGTTTGTATTAATTATAGGCGATTCAAACAAATGGCGATTTTCCAAAGACCAATTCAAACCTTATCCAGCTGATTCTCAGTTATTTTGAGAATTAATGTAATGTGCTTCGTTGTGTCTCGTAAGTAAAATCGCATGAAAAATGAACAACTGTATTGTTTGTGTGTACTAGATAGTTTAAACAAAACCTATTATTAGGTTACTATCTGCATATAATCTTAGGAATATTTTCGTTACATATCTATTTCAGATTACGAGCAAGTACCAAGTGTACTTACTAAGTATTGGTTTCTATACTTGTTACGTTTCAAATTTGCATTTCATTAACATCAAAATATTATTATTTTTCCACTCAGCTTTCTCAAAACATATTTGTAAATCGTAATAGTGAAACTACTTTGTGTTTTAGATACCGTAATTTACACGCAAGACAACGGAATGGACAACTCTGTTCAAATGCACACGAGGCGGAGCCAATTAACTGAACAATTTTTTTCTTCCAAATTATTATAATTAATATTAATTAGTGTTTGGTGATGAGTTCTTAAAACTAAGAATATTTTTTAAACTATTCATTAAAAATAATTATTGTAAATCTATAGCGGCAATAACGTTTATTTTAACTATACACTTACTCGTGTATATAAGTCAAATGTATCCATCTATTACGGGAAATTTTAAATAAAAATGTTGATATACCAACTAATGTAAACAGTGCTCGGATTATATTAGCAATGATACTTCCAACGGTAACTGACAATGTGATACATTAATCACTAGTAAAAATGTTTACTATAATAATTATATATAACACCGTAGGCAATATATATGTGCCTACTTTATGATACAAAGCTAGGTTACATATCTACCTAATTAGTAATAATAAACAATTATAGGTGAAATTACACAAGGTATATCTACTATATTTTAATATTAATATATCAATGGCCGCAATTTACATCACTAACATACCAATATACTTTACAGCCTAGGCAATATATGTTAGGTTTGTCTAATATCTACACAATAAACATATGATTAGGATTTAATATTTTTTTTTATTGTTTTTTTTTTTTTTTGTTAATTTTAATATTATAAGTTAAAGAAAAAATATTTCTTCAACTTTTACTCTGATAAAATTCATAAAAAAAAACATTTTTTAAAATATTCCTTTAATCAAAGTATATTTAAACTGCTTCTGAGTCATTTCCAGGCACTAGTGCATCACACTAATTATTTTTAAATTACACTATAATGAACCATCTAGGCACCTAAAATAACTTATAATTTATGAAATTTAATTTCCCTAAAAATGATACTTGACTATAATAATTATGTTTAATCACGTAACTATTCATATATCGCTATAAATAAAATGTTAAATGTGTAGCTAATGCCTCATACAAAGACAATTTAGTAGCTACTAGTATAAAAATATCTATAAAAAAGTTAAACTACAGTACGCGAGTATAATCTTAAATTTTACTCCATTTTATTTATTTATTCAGCAAAATATATATATTTGAATTATAAAATAACTTTTTTTTCTGTGCAGTTATTAATTTTCAATATAATTTAATAAAAATAAAACAATTTAAAAATGAAATATTTTATGATTAAACATTTAGAAATGTTATGAAACAACAACTCTATGATAATCTATACGAAGCTTAAATCTAAACTTATTTAGATTACCAATCTATGTATTGTTATTATGTTTTACATATTATAAAGTATCATTTATTGGATATAATATTTTAGCAACTGGGCACTGGTTACTAGGTCTGTATAGATATCTAATGCTATTTAATCTATCAAATAACCCGGTGACGTATTTAGAGAATTTCCTGGGGATTAAAAACTGTTCCCTCCAAGACCAAAACAAAATAGATGCCAACATTGTGGTATACATTTTTATAAACCTATGTACAATCTTTAAGTCAAACAACTGATGAATGCAAATAATTTTATCTGATTAAAGACTTGCTTAAATTAAGTAAAATAGAATCCAATGATTAAATATTTTAAGAAAAATTTAGTTATCAAATATTATTAGGTTAACTCATATGGAAAAAAATCCTAAAATATGTTATTGGTGTGCCCATAAATATGGATAGTATTGAATGTTAAACACAAAAATAAATCAATAGACATTAATTTCAGTTCATTCGTTATCTGTGTGATTATATTTTATTTATAGTAATTTTAAAGTAGTGTGATATACTTATATCGCATTTGAATTTTGTACCTACCAGAAATGTATAAAATTGCGAACACATTTGAATTTATCTACAAAGTATACGTTTGTATAGCCGTATAAGTAACTGTTAGTGATATTATAGTCAATATTCTAAAATATAAAATCTGTATTTGTGTTGTAAATTTGTAATATTAGGTACTAGTTTTATAATATTTTATCTAAAGTACATAACTTAAAATTTTAAATGTGAAAAATTGATCGTTTTAATTAAATCTATTGGATTTTCAAAAAAACCACCTCTATATCTTAACAATCATTCCTCTTTCAATTCTTAAGGTACCTAATAAAAAATTTTTTTAGAAAAAAACTACCTTCTATATAATAAATGTGATTTTGTCTCATAAATACATAACATTTTAAAATAATAATAATACGTAATGTGCGTAGATCTTATCTATTTTTATAATTTAATACAATACACATTTTAGAGTTCCCTTCAACGAAATACCTGACAGGTGTTTTAGTTTAAAACATTTGATAAATTTAATGTATAATGTATACATACTTGTTTAAATTTTCTGACTTTTGTGAGGTGAACTTACAATTATCACTATTATACCATTTATATCTAAATACCTTAGTAAGGAAATATATTTTAGGTAGTAGGATTCATACCACGTAAGTCAGTATAAATATAGAATATAAATTTTAAAAATATTATACTTTACTATAATTTCAAACATATTATAAAAATAGCAACAAAGGGTGAATACAATTACATTGTGGATTCTTTTTATTTTGAAAATCTACATTGAAATATTCAAAATTATTATTTATAAAATACTAGCTTGCAGCATTATTGTGTACATTTTAATTTATAATCATTAATATAAAACGTTATTTAACTATTAATATTCAATTCTACCCATCACATTTATGTATGATCCGGATTTTAATGTGTCTATACAAAAAAAAAAAAAAAATGTTATCTATAAAAATAAATTTTCTAGAAGTAAATAATCATCTAGTCACAGCCCCCCTTTTACCAAATAAACCTTTAAAACTGTAAACCCAAATGTATTTCCAATATTTTTCTCATTTATACTAATTATTTATTAAAAAAAAAAGGTTTTATAGTTTTTTTAAGACTCTAACAAATACCTACCTTCAATATTATAAATATTTATAGTTAATCACTAGGTATTTACAGTTACAAATATTTAATTTAAATGTACATTAAAAACTTATATAGGTGAATACTTCATGTCTATCACGTCATTCATTTTTCATTCCTTATCCACCCTTGGTAGTCTTATAGGTAAATACATACACACGATTGCGTTATAATTTTGGGAAAACTCGAGTTGGGTCCTGAGATATTTGACCGCTTAAATTAAACATAAGTTGAATTCGCAGTGTTATTTGATCATAATCGAATATTTGTTGATTATAATTTATAACGTTTAGATGTAGGTACTCGGAAAAGATTCTTTGATTTATCAGTTGAGAATAATTAACCCAGTTGAGTTTTATGAAAGATGTGTATTTTAAATTTCTCCCCTAATAAAGGCTTGATAAATAAAATAAACTTAGATTTTTTTGAAAAAAAAATGATAACAATTATAATTGTTTTAATTATTTTATACATTATAGTAAAGTAACAAAACAATTTTAGGAGACTTCCTAGCCAACCTTCATAATATATCACATGGTGTTTCCTGATTAACGCTAATAGGCTGGACTAATCCAACTTAAGTTTACTCAAAATAAATATGCCGGGGACGCCGGGACTCAACTCATGTACTCAATAAAATACGCCGAAATTCAGTTCATGCCGTCTTTAAAATTTGGGATTCAACTCGAAGTTATCCAAAGTTAAAACTTGATTATAAATTCAGAAAGAACATAACTATTGATATTATTGCCTTTTGTTTACTGATTATCTACTACCTACCCGATAATTTAACCAAGCAAGATATTTAATTTGACACTTGGGCGTTAAACTATTCTCTCTGACACAACTATAACTGCACACGTGAAGTACAGGATCCTACCTACCTAATAGCTAATACATTCCAAATAAAATGGTTACAATTATAACAAGGCCTCTAATAATTAACTACATTATTATTTACATTCAAATATATATATATATATTTGTTTTCTTGTATGATCTTCAGGTATGCTATTATAAACATATTAATTATTATAAGTACAATTCGTTTTATTTAGTATTTAAAATGAGTACTTTATTTTGTCTTTCTAATATTATGAATTATTATATGCATAATAAGATACCTATTTAATTCTAAACACATATGTAGGTAAACTAATGTATTCTTATAACATTATATGACACCTACCTCGCATGTTTTACACTAACCCGAAAGTGTATCTATAGGTATTTTTAACTGTGTAATATAATGTAGATATAGGTATCTACATATACCATACACGTTAATACATTATTTTAATACTAACGGTATATAGAATGTAGATATTGTTCAATTCATCTTGGTATACGATTTAATTAATATAATAATAACTCTAAAATAATATTCTTCAAATCATTGCGCTACCTTTTTTTATATAATTATACTCATTTTGTACCTATCTACCTTATATTTTACGTATAGCATACTGCATTTATTTTATATTACACGGTTATAAAAATATTTATAGAAAAATAATTATTTATTTTTATAGATCTATCAACCAACCATAATTATTATATTAAGTTTATAGTAATAGTATATTATAGTACCTAGGTAGATAAATGTATATTTTTATCTACCAACAGTACCAACATAGTATTTTAAGCTCCAGATCATTTATGACTATAAAATCTGGATAAAATTATTATAATTACCTAATAATAAATAAACATGTACATTTTGTAAAATATATTATATATTTAAGTTAATTTAATTTAATTTAGGAAATTCTACTGGGTACAGTTCTAATAACCAGAACACGAACCTAGATTTTGTATATTGTAAATTATATAAAAACCAAAGAAAAATAAATTTTTGTGTATCTTAAAAACTTTGTTTTATATCAAAATAAATCAGATTTATCTTCAAAAACAGCAATAAAGTGTAAGATAAAATTCGAACAAATAAATAGTATATTTCAATTGCATAATTATTCTCAAATCAAGAATAGTATAAATATTTAACCAACTAATTTTATTGAATTTTTGCTCGTGTAATTTCACATGATTATCTTTACTGCAATTAACTTTTCTTTTTTTTAACTTGAACTTAATATTATATCTAAACAGTTTATATTCTTAATTTTAGATTATGAGCGGAGCAATAAAATGTAAGGGTTTTACAAAAATCAAAAAAAAACTTAAATTTTTACTCAAAACCAGTTCTTGATTTTGTTGAAACCCAAAAATATAATAGGTAATAAATAGAGCACGAATTTTTATGCACTAAAAAGTATCGAAATATGCCATATAATATGTAGTACAAATTATAAAAATATGCAACAAATATGCAAGAATTTTTTTTTATTCATATAAAATTTATAAATTAAACAACTTACGATAATTAATTACTTAAATAAACTAAGTATATAAAAAATTTTCGTTTTAATATGCAATATACTTCAAATTTTGTAAAAATATACAGAAATTTACAAATAAAATTTCACCATTAAATTCAAATTGTTATGATTCATGAAGATAACTGACAAAAATCCAAAAAAGTAAAAGGGAAAAAAATATGCAATTATTGCATAGAAATCTAGGCTCTAGTAATAAACATTTGAAATTTTAACAGAATATTCATATTAACTTTTACTAGATATGAAATAATTTTCAAAATATTTTGACACTTTTTATGCTGATCATAACGTAAGTATTTTAAATGTTCAACTTTGTTTAGTGTTTTATTCAATTTATGTATGATACCTAGTTTCGTTTTGAAATAAAAAAATTGACAATTATAGAAGGTTCCTCATATTATGTCATTACTCAATACTTATTACTCATTAGTAGAGAGCGGATTTTTAGGTTTTTAAATATTTTTATTGGTTTTATGCAGCTTTATGAGAGTGAAAAATGTAGACGATTTATCCATCACAGAGTTCGTAGGAAAAATTTATTTAGTATATTAAAGCATATTTTGGACTTAAGAGAATATTTAGCCTATTTTTCATGTTTTAGAATATATTATATTATTGTTCATAAAAAATCATAAATTAATTTATCGATTTGTGATATTTTCCAGCAACAATTTTTTCTAGGAAAAAAAATTATTTTATGTTAGAATGATAAAAATAAAAATCATTCAATTATCTACTTGTTTGTAATCAAATTGGTAATATTGGTCATTCTGTTACACTTAATCCATGATTGTACTTACGGTCCTATAATAACGTGATAAGAATGATTTCTAATAATAAATCTATTTTATTTTTACTTTTATATTGTTTATTATTTTAACTTTAATGTCTGACGATTTAGTTAAATTTGTAATATTCATTTTTATTTTTTAAAATGCCGAAAATTAACAAAAGTTTGAAATATTCATATACCTATGAACTGTTTTGTATTTTTCTTAATTAAATATTTTATATGTTATCAAAAAGAAATGGTACATAAGTTATTGTTTTTATTGAATTATTTTGGAAAAAAACAAATCATATTATCTGCATATTTACAAGTTTAAGGAATATTTAGAAAATATTTTAGGATTTTTTTAGAACATATTAGCATCATATTTTAAGCTTTTAAGAACCTAAAAATCCGCTCTTTACTCATTAGTAATGCATAAGCTAATTATTATAAAAATATTGAAAATACGTAGATATAATATTACTTTGTAAGTGTTTAAATTTAAAATTTTCATGAATTTCATCCAAATCTACAAATTATTTTGTACTTAAAAATGAATAAAATTTTTAATTTTTTTTAACTAAGACTTGAAAATCTAACAGTACCTAATTGGTTTCACATAATGATTTTTACTGAAAAAATCCAAAACTGTATGATTTTATTTTGTACAATTTTAGTTATTGTACTGTACTTCAAAAATATTCGCGGGAATATGAAACACAATGACATTTTAAAAAATATTAAGATTAAGCTATTGCCTATTGACTATTTATAATACGACTATATAATTATACAATCCTATACTATTCTACCTTTTTTCGACAGTAAGTAGTACCTATTAGTAGTAAGTACGTGTTGATTCAAAAGTTACCTAATAACAATGATATTATATACATGATATGAATATATTGTACCTACCTACACTTTAATAGGTATAAATAATATACCTAATATTAATAATAAAATAAATACAATGTTTTCGGCAAAAATTAATTTAACTTGCGTATTACTAATAGCAAAATAAATATATTATAAAATATTCTTACTAATATAGGTTAGCAGTTGACAGATGATCTCCCTTAAGAATAGTTTTCATACACAAGTAATAATATTTTTAAATTTATTATTTAAAAAAAATTAACCACATTCATTAGTGATATTCTTAGACTCTTAGTTCTTATTGAAGTACATTCAAAATTCACTGTACAACAGAGTGGTACCAACTTGCACAATATTATTTTAGTAGTTAGGAAAAGCAAGGAATGTATTATTTTATAAAGGTGTTTATTTTAAATATTTTTTTGTAAACACTTCATGGGATATGATTTAATAGAACTGCAAAAAGGTCTGAAACTTTAAAGTATTAAAAATCAAGGATTTCTACACATATTATACATCAGAATATATATAATATAATAGTTTATTCAGGGGTTAAAGTGAAGAGACGCGGGAAAACTCCCCATACCTTTAATAGTGATTAAAAAGCATTCACTTTAACAAATTATTCATAAGACACACCAGAATGCTCAGATTATAACAAAACATCAGTCAATATAATTCAGAATTCCGTTGAAATTAAATCTTGGTTTGTTTTTTTTTTCATCAATTATTACTTTAATCAAATGTATTTGATACAAAAGATGGACTATCTATTGTCTAATATTTGTGTAAAAATAATTTATTTTATTAATTATTGTAAATGGCTATACTGTGATTAATAGGAATTTGAAATGCCAATAACAATTATATTATGTAAAATTGAGCATATGTAATCTTTATGTGTAGGTAAAGCGTGAATGTGATTTTCTAAGCATGCTCACCCTCACCATGTGTAGAATTCAAATTTTTTCTTCTAGAATTTAAAGCACTAAAAACACTATATTTATATGATATAAATATTTTTTTTGTCTAGCTTATTTATTTAATTTCCTTAAAAGACAACTACTACTTACAACTTAATACTATCAGAAAAACTAATTTTCTTTTAAAATATTAAATTTTTGTAAAATATTAGCTAGGTATTCTAAAAAAAGTATTATTTGTGATCTAAATTTTTCATGAAGTGAATTATAAATTTAAACATTATTCAGTGTTAAATGTAGGATGAATGTGTTACACTATCAATGCTTATGCATCATATATTTACATAATACTATATGCATAGACATTATGCATAAAATGATATACCTATGGAACATTTAAATCTATATTGAGACATTAGTTCTCTCCTGAAGTTTTTTCCCGCTTAAAACTCTTAGTATAGTACTTTTAAATAGACATTTTTGATTTGATTTTATAGTAGTCAAAAACTAATCCATAGAAATTCATAAAAATAAATTATTTTAGTACAATTAAATAAGAAATAAATATATTTGTTTGATATTACATAATAAATAAATATTTTTAATATTTAACAAGCATTTATGAAAATGTGTAATACAATTTAATAGTATAACTAAGCCCCAATTGCAAAAATAATCAATAATTATTTTAAAGAATAGTAATACATTTTATAAAAATTTTAAACATGATCACAATTTAATTAAACTAAATATTGTATAATTAGACAAAGAATAAAAATAATTTTTATTGTTTATATATTAATATGAAATAAAAAATATAAAATCAATTATTTAAATGTTTTAAAATTATAATTACCTATATTGTACAAAATAAAATTTATAATATATTCAACATATATTATCATACAATAATAAATATTGTCTTGGCAATCTAAATAATATGCCAAAGTTAACATTTATAAAAATAATTATTAAAAATATATATTTTAGTATAAAGATTGCCAATATTAGAGGAAATAAATGGACTATCAAAAACATATTATTTACTTTAAGACTGATTTTTTTTCATTATGTCTAAACTCTGTTCACAAAAAGAAAGAACCTAAGTTTTCATCAGCGGCGGCCTTATATACCAATATTTGATCCCTGTATTAGCATATTAAAAAATAATTATTTGAAAAAACATCTGGGGCTTTGTGTAACATTAACAAAATTATTAGCTTAATAAAAAGCAAAAGCTTATCACAAATTTTAACATAAAAATAATTCATTATTATATATTATCCCTATCAATATAAAAAGGTTAATTTAATAAAATACAATAAAAATATTATAAGTTATAACTTTATAAGTGTTTAAAAATAAATTCAATTATTAAGTAGGTATATTTTATATAAAAATTAAAAATGTTAGCAAGATAAAATAGTTTAAAATTTGTATAAATATAATATAAATTTAACTTTTTAATCAATATAAAAGTTCCATATTCTTTAATTATATCAAATTAATAGTATTGCGCAATTTTATTAAAAATTTTGATAAAAACAAGATACATAGCACCAATAAAAAGAAAAGAAAAAAATTGATTTAAAGCTGCTTAAATTTAATTAATTCATTGAATTTTTAAATTCTCAATCTCAGGTGTTGTGGTTTGAGATGCTCTTTTTTTAGGCACAATGCCATTTATTTTCATATAGTCCATAAATTGTTTAGGTACTTCGGCCAATACATCTTTTGCTAAATGTAAATTAGCAACACTTAGGTCAAGATTATGATATTTGTTAAATGGTACAAATTGTACAATGTCCCTTGCTGCTTTAACTCCGTTCATCTTTAGTCCTCCTTTATCAGCATCCAATTCTTCCATTGCGTCAAATTCTGCATTACCGATACCCACAATAATAATAGAAATTGGTAATGAAGATGCTTTAATAATAGCCTGAAAAATAAAGGGATAGTAATACACAAATAATATATTTTTAATAGTTTAATTATTAGATAGTTATAAATTAAAATTAAAATAATATGGACAAAGTGCAATTTATAAATATTATTACTATTTTAAAAGCATAAGCTATGTATTATTTAATATAACTACATTAAATGTTATAAAAATTTTAAATATTAATAAAAATTATTTTTAATACTAATTTCAAGATTTTATAAAAATATTGAATACGTTTATATTGTTACCATAGTAGACTTAAGTTTTATAATATCATACTTGAAAATATTGATGTTAATATTAGAGACAAATATATTATACATCATTAAAATATAAATTAAATTAACCCAACAAATAATAATACCTGAATGGTATCTGGCATGTCAGTAATAACTCCATCAGTCAATATAAGTAAAATAAAATAACCACTTCCATTTTGGTTATTTTGAGCTATTTTAGCTACATGATTGATAATAGGTGCAAAATTTGTAGGTCCATACAATTGCACTTGATTAATACAACTGCGATATGCATCTAACACACCTAAAAATAGTATAATTTAAAATTATAAATATTATAAATTTAAGAAAATTGTAAATAATTAATTTAGTTTTAGGATATTTACCTCTTACGCCAAAACAATGTGGATTTTGAGGATTCATATTGACAAAAAATTCATGTGACACTTGTCCAGAAGGAGGAATTTTAGCTCCAAAACCCAAAACAGGGAATTGTTTATCAGAATCATAGTCTTCAATTATAGATACAACACTCCATATTGCTTGTTCATAACTATTCATACTTGCGTTATTGATGAAATGTAAAGATGATGGATTTGATGGACTACCATTTGAAGCTAAAAAATAAAATAATATTGTTAACATAAATTACATTGAGTACAGCACTCTCTAGCCATGCGATAATCCAGTACATCTAGTAATACAGTTATATTTCATTTTTTAATCCATTATTTTTGTTTTAACTATAAGAAAGTCTAAGACATAATTTTAAACAAAAAATAATTATTTAACATTAATTCTGCCATTTTTATTAATCCAACATTTCTCTGGTCTGATATCTGACGGATTACCAAGAATCTACTGTACTAAATATTGGTGGCAAAGGATGGATTTTAAGATTAATAAGATACTGAAAAAAATTTAAATTAGCCATAAAAACAATATTATTAATACTCATATTTTAAACGGTACTCGTCTAATATGCTACCTACCGTTACTTGATACTTCATTGGTTTAGTATGCTACCTACCGTAAAATGATATTTACCAAAAAATGTTTACTAATTAATAACAAATTAACAACAATATTAACAACAATTTATTACTAAATAATTTATTAATATGTAAAAAAAGGATTTTCTTAAAGAGTGATAAGTTTGGCAACTTTTTTTTTTTGACATCGTAAATAAGTTATTTTTAATAAATCACCATTTGAGTCCCTTTTACGATTATTTTTTTGATATTCTTTCAACGTAACTCCACAATAACACAATCTTTTAATTTGGAACAACTACCAAGTTCTAGGAGCAAGTTTCTCTCTTGAAGATAATTAACACATGTTTCTTCATTACATATTATATGCCTGTACAAATAGTGCATTGATTTGTTAATTTTTATTTATTTTAATATAAAGGAATAAAAAGTAAAACTTGCAACAATTAGGACACATACACAACATGGACTAAAATGATATATCTAAAAGACAGTTTTTATGGGTCTTAGTAGATCAGATATCATAATGGCTATTAAGCTATAAATTTGTACAACTGTTATAATATGTTTTTCATCCTAATAACTCAAATATACTTCCCCACAATAAAATGAAATAAAATAAAAATAACTACGGTACATAGCATACTACACGCATACAAACTGTATGCCAAAAAACTTTTGGTAGATACCATTTTATGGTTGGTAGAATATTAGACAAGTACCTTTTAAACAATATCAATCCAAAAATAAACAAAGAAAAACTGAAATCTCACTTTAAAAACAAGTTAGTGATGGTTGACATTGAATATTGAGTTAATAACAATTTCTTAGTAACAAAATAAAATAAAAATTTGAAAAGTTACTCATTGCATGATAATATCCATTTTTTTTTTCAATTTCCTATGCATTCAATGATTGATAGAATAAAACAAATTTGATATTGTCTTATATTTATTTTTATACTGTATTTTGATAGGTAATGAATAAACCGCCATTATAAGCACTACCAGCTCATGAAAGAATTTCAACTAAAATTAACTAAAAATAATGAAAATAATAGAAGAAAATAAATATCATTGTAGTATTACGCTCAAATTTTTAAATATAATTAAACCAAATTTTTAATCCGTATTTTAATGGGTAGATATTGTCTACCAACTCACTCCTATATGAAGCTTCTTCACGGCAAAGTAATAACTCATTATTTTCAGGTTTTTAAATAATTCAATCAAATACAGTTAATCATGAAAAATAAGCTTCATGTCAATATCTAATTCTTTTAGAACATTTTATAAAGAAAATATTAATTTATTTTACCAGTAAAGTCAATAGCCACAGTACAAAACATCTCTGTTCCTCCTTGGACATAATCTAAAAATGAATAAGTTGATTGTATTTTTATGTATTCTACACGTATTTCACCAGAATCTTTGTAATCCTTTTTTTTTTCCTGAAAATAATTATCAATAAATTAAGCAATATACATAGAAAATTGAACAAAATAATATTGAGAATAAATAGAATATAATAACTTACTTTTTTTTTCCCATTAATGCATTTAAAAGTAGCATTAGGATTTGATAGACCTTTTAGAGTGGTATGAAATTCACCAATTAAACTATGATCACCACTTGAATTCCAATCAAAACAAATAATTTTTAAATCCCGTTCATAATCTCCATTACAAAATGATCGAACAGGAATATTAAATTTTTTCCATCGAGGATTTAACGTATCCTTAATGACCTATTCAAAAGTATTTAATAGAATATTTTATAGAACTATTAAGTTATTTATTGTCAATATACTGAAACTTTTTACTTACATCAGTTTTATAAACTAATGTATAATTTCCAGTATCCGTAAGTTTATAGATTTCCAAAAATGGATCAGATTTACCAAAAAAGTCTTTTTTTTCCAATTTAAATCCACTCATTTCTAATATCACTTCATCTCTATCCATACCCAATTCTTCTGCAGTTATAACTAAATAACTACTTTTCAAATTACCATCACGATCTGTTAGTTGTAACTTATTCTAAACACAACAAAAACAATTATATATCATGAACAGATTAGATACTTATAGTTTAGTATAGATTATCTTACACGTTTATTAGCAACAAGTTGTCCTAAAGAAATTGTTACAGTTCCAAGAAAATCATGTACTGTTAAATCTTTATCTTTTGAATCAGTATCATATATTTCAAACAACAGAGGCTGTTTTTCTTCAAATCTAAAGCTTATCAATACTTTAGAAACAAAATTTGGATCCTGATTATTTTTAACAGTTTCAGTTCGATGAAACTCAATCCATTTATTTTGGCCAAATGGTTGTATATATGTTACACACATTGGGTCAGATTTTGACAAAACATCTGTACCAGACAGACTCCTAAAAATAATACAGGTAAAATACATTTTTAAATAATAATATATATAATAATTATATTGTATAAAAGAAAAAAAATTAGTGTTTTTTGTCATACTATAGTTTTAATTGAAATTTTTATTTTAATATACTTATTATTTAATTTTAATATTAAATTATTTAAATACAATTCATAATTAAAAGTACCCCAAAGATGATTAATTGTTATTAAAAAAAAATAATTTTAAATAGTACTTTTATAATTTACAAATATATTTTTTAAACTAGCTTATTATAATTTTAATCCAAACATATGTACATAGTATATATTTTTTTTAACTATAATTATAAAAATATACAAATCATTAATTAATTTCTTTTTTACTATAAAAATGTTTTAATGTAAAATACTTATATATTAACATATGATATTATAACGTATTATAAGCTATATAATATATTCAATATTGCATATATAATTAGTGTTATCATTATGTCTTAAAAATTCAATAATTTGTACTCAGATTCAACTGGAATTCAATGCAAAATGCATTATTCTTTGGTACTCTAAAACAATGGATTTCAGGTAAATAATTTGTCTCATAAAATATTTAATTCTTTAGAGAAATTTGGATTTTTAAAATTTTCAGGTAATTTTATCAACTATTATCACATAAATTAAAATATTGTACCAACTTTTAGTATAAATAATAATATTAGTTTAATAGTTTTTAGAAACTTTTAATAGTTTGGTATTTATTTTGTTTTTGTAATATTTCAATAAAAGACCTAACCTATAAATAAAATAAAAGTTAGTTAAAATAAAGAAATGTTAAAAATTATGAAATTTAATCCATTGATTTCTAATCGCTTGAGTAGTTTAAAGTCTAGAAAAATAATGTTTATCATTTTTAAAGGCATTATTGCATTGAAAATATATTTCTAAGGAGATTTTTAGTTATTTTTTAGAATATTTTTTGAAAAAATGTAGAGACTTTAAATTCAAGTCCTAACCATAATTATTAAAGTATATTTAACAATGTTATTGTCATTAGATATTTATTTAAAAATTAAATTAAATATATTATATAATTACAATATTATTTGACTATTAGCACAAGTTTGACAGAAAAAAACACAGTTGAATTTAACTAGTTTAACAAAATATTCTTATTAGGAAAGTATTATTATTCTAAAATTACTGCATTTACCTGCATGCCAAAGATAACTCAATGTCAGCAGACGGAGAAACGGCTGATCCTGGAGTAAATGCCATTATATAGTTTTGATTTAGAATTTTTAATTAATTAAAACAATTTGTAAATTATAGATAACTATTACAACTATTATTTATTCATAAGCGTACACAAAATCAAATATGAAAATATTATGAATATTGAATTGTTAATTTTTATCCATCAAAAATTAAACGTCACCGCATCAGTCAATATTATACTTAGCATACTAACAAATAACAATAAATAAATGAGTAGATATTTACTATTTAATAAAAATTAAATATAAAATATTTATTTTATAGACTCATAGACAGTATCATTAATATCATATATACAAATGTATGAACTACAGTAATAGAACAAATTCAGTTATTTAATAATACTCATAATATAGGTAGTCTACGGAGTACAAACAATAAAATTAGCGTCCAGTAAGTAATGAACTAATGAGTAATGACTAACTAACGAGTAATGGCTGACGAGTGAAGACTGAAGAGTGTTACACTGTTACGAGTCCAGTAATTATTAATAATTACTAATTAGTCCAATAATTAATTTATAATCAATAGTACAAACTTAGATACGAGTACACGAAACCTACAGCTATCAGTTGCGTTGTTATCACAAGACACGAACACAAACATTAAATGGTCAAGGTTGATATCAATTCATCTTGGTAATAACGCAGAATAAAATTCTGTGGTAATAGCACGGATATCGATACTGCACGTAATAGTAACAATATATTTAATATTTAATTTGTAAACCTCAAAATTCAAATCACAACAAGATTTTAAATAAACTTATCTACAACTTTAAGAGTGCTCAGTGCGCAGTGCGCACTGCATAGTGCATAGCACGCATAGACTTCTACAAGAATTAAGTACTTATTTAAGTATTTTTTAGCAGAGTGACTGGATACCATAAACAGCAAAAAGTATAAATTAAGATAAATGATTGGTGAATTAAGATGAATCACAATTTTTCGACAGAATAAAATAATTTCTGATTTTTCTATGCACAAAAACTACAATTAATATATTTTAAGTATATTTAAGATCATAATTATTTAGAAATATTATTAGTTATCAATTTAAAATTAAAAAAAAATAATGTTAATCTTTTATTATCTATATCAGTGAAATATAATTTGCATTTAATAGTGCAAATAAAGTATTTTTTTTTGCAACTATATAATTTTACTATTTATTAATTTTTAGTTGTCTTTTAATATTTTGTCTCTTGTCTTAAGTCAAGACTAAGAGTTATAACAAGTGCCATGCTGTCATTTAATACCATTCACCATTTACATATGGAACACAATTGATTAAAAATAACAAAAATTAAACATATTTAAAAAAATCCCCTAATAAAAATAATTAAATAAGTAATATTACTTAATTTATGCTTTTTTAAATTCTTTTATTTTTTTCAAAAAATAAAATGTTATATGGTATACATATATAATGTAAAGGAAAAAAGTTTTTATAACTGGAAATTCATTGTGTATGTAAAAATGTAGACCTTTACAAACTTTTCTTTAGTCATCCTTAATTGTGTTATTACTTTAATAAAAAAAAAATTGATGACACTGTAATAAATTCTTAAAATATACATAAATAGGGTATAGGAATTAAATATAATTTTAATAATTTACTCGTAGTTAGAAATAATAAAAATTAAGACATATATTAAGTTACTTTGAATTTACATTCATATATTTTTAATAGATAATCCTGAATAGCTAATTTAAATCAATTTTACATATCTTTCAAGTAGACATTTAAATAATTTAAAATTGAGTACAAACCAATTTTAAAAATTAATTAATATTACATTAGTTATATGTCATATAACGTGGAGTAGAAGAGAACTTGGCATATGATTTGATGACCTTATTTACAGCTTCCAGGAAATCTTTTTCAGTAGCAACTTTTCGGCGAGCTCTAATTGCAAACATACCAGCTTCAGTACACACAGATCTTATCTCAGCTCCTAAAATTGTAATAAAAAAATTTAATTGTCTTACGATTAATTGTGATAAGACTGTTAAATCATTGTACAAAATTCAATATCAATATTGTCCATACCAATATATTTAGTCAGTTTTTTTTTTAAGCAGAAAACTGAGAATTTAGTCACTATGTTATTAATTTTAAATTAATAAACTTTTAATTTTGTTGTAAAATACAATATTAAATTATTATATTTTACAATAAAATTTAATGTTTTAATTAACTGTATAGTTTATACAGTAAAAAATTTGTTCTATCAATTACAAGAAAGCAGATTTTTAAATTTTTAATTGTTTAAATTATAATACTTATATACTTAAAAACCATTAAAATATTCTCCCAATATTCTTTTTTTATTTCTTAGATAAAATTACTTTAAGTTAATTATTATGCAAGTATATTATATTATATTGGTTTATTTGTAATAATACACAGTTATATTATTATTGTTTCAACACAAAATAATATTAAAAAAAAAAAAAATCAACTGGTCAAACGGAATATATTACAGTACAGAATGACTAAGATTACCAATTGAATTACAAATCATAGAGATAAACTACAATGCTTCAAATAAATTATTAAGACTTAAATAATTTTTTTTTTTTTTTTATAATAAAAATAAATCTCTACTTGATAAACAACTGTAGACAATAATACAATACACCCTAAAATATAAAAATCCTCTAAATTTCAAAATATGTTGAAATTTGCAAAATAAAGTATTTTTTAAAAAGTTTGCAATTTGATTGTTTAAAAATTTTCAGCCATTAAATTTATGCAAAAACCTAAAAATCTGCTTTCCATTAATTTTAAAATTACACAAATAACTGGATTGTTGGATAATTAAACTAATGGTATTAATTAAAATCATAAAAAAAAAACTATATATATATATATATATAAATTTAGACATTACCAGTGCTATTGGGACAAAGTCTAGCCAACAATTCAAAACGAATATCTCGTTCGACACTCATAGCTCTAGCATGTATATTGAAAATATGAGTTCGACCTTCTAAATCAGGTAAACCAAATTCAACTTTTCTATCAAGACGTCCTGGACGCATCAATGCTGGGTCTAACGTATCTGGTCTATTAGTTGCCATTAAGACTTTAATGTTTCCTCTGGGATCAAATCCATCCAACTGATTAATAAGCTCCAACATGGTTCTTTGTACTTCGTTATCGCCACCAGCGCCATCATCAAAACGTGCACCACCAATAGCATCAATTTCATCAAAGAATATCAAGCAAGCTTTCTTACTGCGTGCCATTTCAAATAATTCACGAACCATACGTGCTCCCTAAAATTTCATATATTGATAAACATAACAAACATTATTGAACAACCATTTATAATAAATTTTAATTTCACCTCTCCAACATATTTTTGAACAAGCTCAGAACCAATTACTCGAATGAAACAAGCATCTGTACGATTAGCAACTGCTCTAGCACATAAAGTTTTACCGGTTCCTGGAGGTCCAAACAACAAAACACCTTTTGGTGGTTCAATTCCCAAATTCACAAATTTTTCGGGCTAAAAATCAACATAATTTTAATTTATTAAATGGTAATAAAAATAATAATAGTTAAAAAAAATACTAAAAATACTAACATGCAATAATGGAGTTTCAACAACTTCTCGTAATTTATCTATCTGTTCTTTACATCCACCAACATCTGAATATGTAACATCTGGCTTTTCTTCTACTTGCATCATGGTAACAGTAGGATCAATTTTAGGTGGAAGTGGAATATGAATTTGATATTTATTACGGTCAACTCTACATTAAAAGTAAATAAAATAAATAGCACACCCAGATTTGAATTTTAAAGAAAGAAATATATTATTTACCCAACACGCATTCCTTCTTCAATATCAGTTGGTGCTACAGAATCTGCGAGATCAACAACAAACTTGGCAAATTGTTTGACATTAATTATATATTTAGGATCGTCTGAATCAGCATTAATAATTTTTGTACATCTGGCAACCTTATAAAATCAATTGTTCAATATTTATATATTTCATAAATTATAATAAAGGAACTATAGAGTATTTACCTGTAATGGTTGTTCATTTTGAAGAGTCTGTTTGTCAGCAGTTAAATCCCAAAATGCGGGAGGAGCTAATCCTGTATCCGATTCTTTAATTCCAGTTAATTCGTTAATACGTTTAATGACACCTTGGATATCATCTTCTACGGCCTTTACATTAATTGTCCATTGACCTTGGCCCTAAAAATATAATAAAGGTTATTTAATATATTTTAACAAAACATTTTTAACTACTTACATATGTTTTAAGCAATGCTATGTCCTCTTCATCCAAAGCTAAAAATTATATTAAAAATAAATTATTGTAAAACAAATACACATGGCAAAAGTTATCAAATATGCACAAATATAATAATAAATTAATAAAAAATATTTTTAAAAATTAATTCAATCAAATCTTTATTTTTTTGTATAATCCTCTCAAATTCAATCTTTTTTTCTTTTCCCTTTGCTCCAACTATATGGGGTCAGCTCAGCCTACACCTGAATAATGCTCCATTATTTTTTCACTTACACATACTATATTTAGTCTATTTGTCTCATCTTCAGTTTTTTTCTCAATTTCTTTTCTCTTTCACTTAATGCCATTGTCACTCTCAATGATGTTAAAATAGTAAATTATATAAAATAAATAACACAAAACATTTCAAAATTTTAATTGATTAACAAAATCAATATAAAAATTAAAGAAAATCATATTTATATTGAAGTGTAATTTAGAATTTACTAAAATTATACTATTCATTCACTTATAAAAATTATAAAAAAAACTTGTAAATACCACAAAATGTTGTAATTGTTACTTGATGTTAATTAATTAAATACAAAAATAATATACAATAAAAAAAGAATCATAATCTAAGCTTAAAGGTGTTATTATATATCTAAAGTAATTAAATATATAATTATTCAAAAAAACTTGGGTGAAAACTTAAAAAGGAAAATTTATCAGAAATAATTTAAAATAACTAAATAACCTGATTTCAAAAAAAAAAAACCAATATTTTTAGTTGATGTATAGCATTTAATAGTATCTTTATAAAATCCTCTAATAAAAGTTTAATTATCTATTACTTCATTCAGGAAAAATGGTTTTAAATTTTTATATTTCAGTATTATAATTAAAGATAAATGTAAATATTGGTGGATATTTTCAAAAACAAGGATTATTTTCAATAGATACAAGATAATATTATAATAAAATTATTTTTTAATTACATTTAATTTCTTTTTCTTTTTCATCTTTTTCGGGTTCATCTTTCTTCACTTTTCTCATTTCATCACCCAAATAGTCAGGCATCTTGAATAATTAATTTTACTAAAAAAAAAACGAATTAAATATAAAACAATTAACAATTATTATTAATTATAAATCTAAATAATTTAAAAATGGAATTTACAACTTGAATCCAAAATGTAATAAATATTGTATTAATATGTTCAGATAATGATAAAGCTGTTTTTCTTTAAAAATTAAACAAATAACAATTTAAGGTTAACAATGACTTCTCAACTTGGACTACACGAGCGCTCTCTTTAAAATTATTTCGGAACTACACTCAAAATTTGATTATTATGTTTTATTTATTTTCTAAGAGATAATGCAAATGCTCGATGTATGGCCAAACAATAATTTGTTTACGACTATATAGTTTAACACCATTAGCACTCGTTTAGTTGCTTACATTTTTCTTTATCGACTCCACCCCTAGATTGATTAAAATTTAAAACTAGTCTCACTATTGAGTTATAGAAATTGTATATTAATTCGTTCCTTTGTGTCTTTAATCTAGTGCTCTTCAATTCGTTACTTTTATTGTATTTTTGTTTTTTTTTTTCATTATATTGCAATCGCATAATAACGGTACCTCACCTGTCCAGTTTAGTGGGGCTTGTTTGGGTGAACACAAACACGGCCTGATAGGTACGTAAGTTAAAGCGTGCGTAAATGTAACTACTTGCGTTTCATATTCATGGATGTTTCAATAATGTCATTAATTATTTATTATTTCCCAATAATATCATATTCAATGTAATTTTGTAAATAAATCAAATTTTTATACATGATTTCTTATTTTCAGTATAAATACCATGTTTTTATTCTCATGACATTGTCCCTTTGCTCACGGTCGCAATGCTTCGGTTTTTGAGTAGAAAACGGGGTCGGAATGATCCAAAAGCTCGAAACATTAAAGCTGGGGCCGAACGTTTAAATCCTCCAAACAAGCATTGTATGCAATGCAGGGTTATGCTTTTAGATGGTACAGACCTATGCATTGAATTATCAGTAAGTAAATGTAAAATAATATTATATTGTTACATTGCAAAGTGTATTTTTCTTTAAGTTTTTAAATAAATGAAAAACATTAATTCCAATCAACATAAATTTATTAATTATTAAATATTTGTGTAAATTGTACCTAACTTTTTATACACCTATTGATTTTTTTATTCCAACGTTTATTACCTATTATAATTTTTAATTTATAATTATATTATTAACATCATCTTTGGAAGTGCTTTCTTTATTTTGTACTGATAGAATATTTAATATTATTTAATTATTTGTATAAATATAATTCTTGTTAGATATTTGTCGAATATGTCCAAAATAATATCATAGTTTAAATAAAACAATCTAATAATATAAGATTCTTCATAAGTTGGGCTTGGAAGTTGTAAGAGCTTAAAAAGGAAAAATGTAGATGAAAAAAACTATAAAATATCCATTAAAAATGATATTAAATATGCAAACAATTATTCTGAATTCCAAAAAAAAATAAAAATATATCAGATGTTTTTAGTAAATTAATAAAATATTAATACACATAAAAACTGTTAATAAGTGGTTTTTAATATAATTAAAAATATTTTTTTAGTATTTTTGAAATAATGATAAATATCTCCATTGAAAATTTTGAGTTTAATAATTGAAATATATAAGTTAAGAAAGAAATAAATCAATTTTTAAGAAAAAAATATGAGATATGCACTTTTTTGGCTAAAATTGCAAAATATGCAAACTATGCATTTTCAATTTTCAATTATTTAACTCTCTATTGTATAGTTCAGATTTCCAACTTAATCTGCTATAAATTGAGAACGTACAAAACAATATGCAATTCCCATAACTGAGCCCTTGTTATTCAGAAATTTTAGATATAATAATATTTTCAAAATATTGAAATTATACTATTAAGCTTTTGCCTTTTTATACCGTTCAACAAGAAGTCAGAAATGACTTATAAGTTAATAACAATTCTATAAGCTTCAAAAATAATATATGCTGTTATAATAAATTTAATGTTTTCGACAAAAACAATTCAACCTGCCTTGTTATAAATATATAATCAAATATACTGTGACTGAGATTTCAAACTGGTAGCAATTTCACCTTATTCTGCTTAGTTACTCTTTATTTATTCTTATACCTACAAATACTTCCAATTATTATATAATAAATTTAAGATCTAACATTTTTTTTTTTCTAAGTACTATAATATAATAATGAATAACTAACATCTTTTAAATTTATAAGTTTTTTTAATGTACAGATTTAATAATTTTTTCACTTGTATTCTTTATAAAAATATCAAATTAATCTTAAAATAATTTTTTTTTTTTTGTAGAAAAAGGCTGTTGGAAGTGATTTATATGAACAAGTTTTTTATTCATTGGATTTAATTGAAAAAGATTACTTTGGTTTACAATTTACTGATGCTAATCATGTTCAGGTAAATAAATATATATTTCTATTTATTTTAACTTGCTATTTTAGTATTAATTTTTATATTCTAATAAAAAATGTTTTTATTTATTTAAATCTCATCAATGAAAATTAATAATGATATCTGTCTATTCAAAAATTAAATTGCCTAATGAGAGAACTAAATATTTGAAAGTAAAAATGTTTAGTATATTTTTGTAATTTTCTAGAATATTCTCATTTCTGAATTAAAATTTTTTTGGTATGTAAATAATATTTAGTTTTTATTCGTGGAAATAAGATTTTTTAATTATTAATTAGGAGTTACTACGTATTTTATCTATTAAATTATTTTTTTTAAATATTACACTTTAAATATCTAATATTTTGTTATACACATATATGTATATAATCTTGTCAAAATATACCTTATAAACATAACTATCCATGTGTAACCATGTACAATAATTCTATATTTTTAATACTAATTTTATATGCCAAAACTATTTTAATTTTCTAAGAAGAACCAGGAATGTATTAAATTTACAATTTAACTTGTGTGATTTTTTTTTTTCAGACTATTTTCACCTTTTGGAATAGTAACAATTCTTTGATTTTCAACTTTGAATGTAATTTTTGTTTAAATTAAAACTAATTAATACCTTGAAATATATATATATATTTTTTTAAACAAATATAAATATTTTTACTCTTTTTAAACTTTTTTTCAATATTTCAAATTTAACAAATATTTCATACATTTTTACTAATTCAAAAAGCTTGAAAAATTTATATTTGAGATCCTCATCAGTCGTCATAACTATTAAAAAAATTTAAAGATTCTTAGGCACAATTTTTTGAAGTTAAATGTTGACAATATTTATAAATTATTTTGTTGCTAAAAATTTATAAATTGTTTGATTTTTACAGTTAAAAAGTGAAAATTGAATACAAAGTAGTTGTCTTATTAGTAGTTTATAGTATAGTAACCAAAAATATATTTAACCACATTTTTTTTTTTTATAAAAAATATAAATAAATAAATAATTATAAAGAATAATGATTTTAATTTTTTTTGTTGTAATTTAAAAATATTATTTGTGGAAACTTGAAGCATTTAATGCATTTTGTGATTTTTTTTATGTAACTGAAAGACATACAATACTGAAACTTCCGTATGTAATGAATTCCCAAAATTTAATTAAACCTACCATATTATTAATTGTAAAATAAATAACTTAGTAGAAATAACAATTTCTCTAAAATATACTTAGTAATATAGGCTTATAGTCTCCTCAGAATCATTTTTTTGTATACTATGATATATTGAAACATATCCATTACAGTAACTAAAATATAGATTCTGTTAATAATATTTACACATTTTATTGATGAATTTAAGTTCTATTGAATATTAAAAATAATATATACTGATGCTTATTATTTAATTTTTAAGTAACTAATGTTCATTCAAAACTGATTATTTTGTTTAGCATTGGCTTGATCCTACAAAAGCAATAAAAAAACAAGTTAGAAGTAAGTAATACATTTATATTATTTTTATTATTTAGAAATATTAAGTTTTGATTTTATTTTAGTTGGACCACCATATACATTTCGACTACGTGTTAAATTCTATTCTTCAGAACCAAATATGCTTCGAGAAGAGTTAACTCGCTATCAGTTTTTTCTTCAACTGAAATTAGATATCCACGAAGGTCGCCTTGAATGTACTCAAAGTACTTGCATTGAATTAGCAGCCTTGGCTTTACAGTGTATGTATTTTTATAATTTAAAAAAAAATAAAACTTTTATGTGCATTTACTATTTATTTTTATAGCTGAACTCGGTGATTATGATGAAACATGTCATACTCCTGCTGTTATATCTGAATTTAGATTTGTACCAAATCAAACTGAAGATATGGAAATACAAATTGTAGAAGAATTCAAAAAATGTAAAGGTCTAACTCCAGCTCAAGCAGAAACTAGTTATTTAAATAAGGTGAAATGGTTGGAAATGTATGGAGTCGATAATCATACTGTTTTAGTAAGTAATTGTATTTTATGTTTTCATATGCATTTCTTAAAAATTAAAATTTTCTTTACGATTATTAAAATATTTCAATATTAAACTTTTTTTATTATATATTGTTTACACAAGTATTTTTATTTAGGGTAAAGATGGATGTGAATATGCTCTTGGTTTAACACCGACAGGAATTTTAGTTTTTGAAGGCCTTCAAAAAATTGGACTCTTTTTCTGGTATGATCATAGTAAATATTTTATAATATAGATATCTATTGGGGAACTTCAATTAAATTATTAAATATGTATATTATAAAAATTATTAAATTATTTTAATATTATTAAAAATATAAACTTGTTTTAATTTTATTTATGATGATGTTGCATTGCACTATTCTTTACATATTAATTTCGTTATATTATTTAGCCCTTAAAATATGTGTACTTCAATTTAAAACTGGAATAGTAATTGTATTGAACTAACTCCCAATTGACTAACATTCTTTAAAGCAATTTCCTTTTATTTCTTTTTTTAATAATTAACAGAGTAAACCATTGTTTTATTTGACTTAACTTACTAATACTCTTTTAATCTAAATTAAAATTCAATTCCATACATAAACATTTTTAGACTAATAGTTAGTTATTTCATTGCTTTCAAATAACATTTTACTCTATAATAAAACACTGAGAAAATTCTTGTACCAAATAAAATAATTCTCTGTTTTTATATAGATATAATATTTAATTACTAGGTAATGTAAAATATAATTATTTTTAATATTTATTAGGCCAAAGATTGGAAAATTGGACTTTAAGAAGAAGAAATTGACTTTGGTTGTCGTAGAAGATGATGATCAAGGGCGTGAACAAGAGCATACATTTGTATTTCGATTACACAATGAAAAAGCGTGTAAACATTTATGGAAATGTGCTGTTGAACATCATGCATTTTTTAGACTTCGTGCTCCTGTTAAAGGTCCATCTGCTAGACAAAATTTTTTCAGAATGGGTTCACGTTTTAGATATAGGTAAATTTATTAAAACATTTAGTTTTAGTTAAACATTTAATATTTTTAATTATTTATTTAAGTGGCAAAACGGAGTTCCAAACAACTCAACTAAATAGAGCAAGAAGAACTGTTCAATTCGAAAGAAGACCAAGTCAACGATATGCAAGAAGACAGTCGCATGTTTTAAGAGAACGACAAAAGTAAAATAACTACATTGATTATAAAGATTAAATAAAACATCTGCTTAGTATTTATGCAGATAACACTAGCTCTGTGTAGTTTTAGTGTTTGGTACCATATTTATCACTATAATCTTATAAATCAAAAATATTGCTCTTCGTTTAAACAAGAAGTGGTCTTAAGATCACTTATGTAGAAATAATATCCTATCCATTCTTTATTAACTATAATTAAAAGTCATAATTTTACCTATATTTATTATTTGTTTCATAACTTTGTATCATAAAATGTTTTCAGAGATAAAACAGAAAAACAAAAAGTAGAAAATGAAAATGAAAATGAGAAAACGGAAAAAATTAATATTATGGATAAACCGCCAACTCCAATCTTAGATTCCAAAGATATTCATCTTGAACCAACTTCCTCATTGACCTCAAACTCTTCTGGTAATGGTAATTACATTTAATAAACCAGAATAGTATTTTCTAATTTAAATAAATTGCTTAATAATATTTTTATTCGCAGATATTGCTGAAGATAGATTGGATTCATTGTTAAAAAGTTTGAATAAAGACACTCCTTTGATCAACAACAAAATAAATGAATCAAATTCAGCTGATATAATCAATAAAACCGATGGTATTTTATTTTACATAGTATATTTATATAAAATTAGTATTATTTATTATTATATTTTATTAGATTTTGGCAAAGATCAAAATCAGTCCTCATCTCCATTACCAAACAATCGAAACATTACATTTAATACTACTCCAAGACCAATTCCTAAAGAACATTTGAAATGCAACATTTTAAAAGGTAATAAATGAAAACCATAGTTAATTGAAGGTTTTTATAATAATGTTGTTTTGAAAATTTTTTAATATATAACAATTTATAAATATAACAATATTATATATATATCAGGGCTTAAAATATGAATTATTAGTCTTTGTTTTGGTTTGAAATAATTTTTCTTGAACCAATAATGTCATGAAAGTCAAAATTTTTGGTAGATAAGCATGGTTAATTACGAACATAGATAATCAAGGTTTCACTGTTTATAAGTTATAAATATTCTTTGCCTATTAAAATATTTTAAAAACAGCCCCTTGGAAAATTAAATTTCACGTAATTTAATGGACATTTAATATTTTCTTAAATATTACTAACATTTTTATGCTTTTTCTAGCTAAAGTTGAAGAGGAAATGAAGAAATCTCCTTTGTCTTTGTTTGATCCATTATCTAAAGTGACCAACTTGCAAGATAATAATTTACTACATAATGGGTAACTTTTATTTTATAAACTAATTTTTCAATTATAAATATTATAATATATTTATTTTATTTTAGGGATTGCAATGTTAATTCTAAATTAAATTCTTTTGGCAAAGAACAAGCAACATTTGTATCTGTTGTAAGTATATACTTGACTAAAATATAATTTATTTTGTAGTGTTCCTCATTTTATGTATAAGGATTAGTTTATTTAGTTTTTTTGTTTCGCTATTGTTATTGTTTAGTGTTGTTGATTTGTTTGGTTTTTGTTTTTGGCTTATTTTTTGGTAATAAAAAAGGGTGGAGACAAACTGACATTGTCCCTTAATGGTGGCATTGCAACACCTGAAGAAACTAAACAACCATTGGATGAACAACCTACTTCTGAAACATCTGTGTCTAAAGAGGACCGTAAAAGATGTGCCACTCCAGTAACAGTGACCCATTTCTCTTTTGGTGAATGTGGGAAATTAGAGCAAAGGGTGGTTTCTCCTGAAAGAAGTCCTACAGAAAGTATGTCAAGCATTTTGTCCTTACCATTTAATGCCACATCTCCTACTAGCCCTCGTAACCCATTTTCGGCAAATCCGTTTATTGGTGATTCACAATCAGTAACAAATCCATTCTTATCGTCTTCATCAAATCCATTTGCTGATAATGGTATAAAAAAAGATTCTACTAATGATGTCGAAGTTGCTGTTGAACCAAATACTGGCATAAATGGTGTAACAAATTCTAATACTAAGGTAGTCCAAAAAAATCAGGTATGTATTTTCTTATTATTTACTTTATACTTGTAAACAATTAGTTATGGATTATTTTAATTTAAAATTTATGATCTCTTATATACAACATGAACTATTTTAACCATATAACTGATATTACATCAAAATGCTTTATTGCAATAAAATTGTTCATTACAGATGGTTATAGTTGAATACTAATTTCAAATACCTATATTCCAGCATATTAAATAAAAGCATTTTACAAATATTTCTTGATATTTTAATTAAGTTTTAATAAAAATGTATAAAAAATAATGAAATTTAATATTTTTTTAAAAGAAAAATTTAGTAAATTACTTTTCTTAACTTTTACATTTTCTATTTGTATATTTACTTTAAACCAATAAAAAAATTTATGAATATTTAAAGCCAAATTGTATTAATGAGATACCAGTCTTCATTACTATAGGTTAATATTTGTGTTAGCAGTATTAAATATATTAGTATTAAACCTACTTTACTAGTTTTGGAAATTTTAGTTTTTAATTTTTAGTATTAATTTATTATAGTATACCATAAAATTGTCAATAGAACTAGTTCATGTTGTATTTGAATTTATATTGATTGATTGCATAACCATTACTAACTATTGCTTACTTATTGTTGTTTTGTTTAAAATATAAAGTAATTAATAAAAAAAAAATGTATTGTTGAAAATTGTTTTGTAATTAAAAGTTGACTAAATTATGTATCACATTTTTATATTATAATAATTTTATTGAATCTTGGTATTTTTTTAAAAACTAAAATAATTTTAGCATATTAAGGTATTATCACATTTTTATAAATATTTATTTAAATTATTTAATTTTGAAAAGTGATTTCTATTATTTATGTATTATTTTATAGGAACCTACTAAGATGAAGCCTTTAAATCAAATTTCTCCTTGGCTAATTAGTAGTGGTGCTGAGACTTCATCAGGACCCAAAATAATAACCAGGAAGTCTGTAATAACAACTCAACTTTAAAAATGGTATGTATGTTAAAACTTCATACTCATCACTGTTATATCAGAAATAATGGAAATACTATTAAAAATTATGTTATTACTTAAATATATATATTCAAAATAAATTTGTGATAGAACACAAAACACTTATAGAAAAATAGTTAACTATCGCAAATTTTAATGTTAGGCATCACAGATTTTCCTTGAATGAAATATTTAACATTCTTAATGAAATTGATCTCTTTATTCTTTTATGAATTAAAAGGAAATTAAAATTGGAATTAAATTTTTTTTTTAAAGCAATAATACTTCAAATTGAAATATTTTGTATTATTTTTAGTCACTATTTTTATATAATACTTAAAAGTATTTAATTTTACTACAAACAATACAAAACATGAAAAAAAATATTTATCTTTGATTTATATATTATACATAAAATAATTTATTTTATTATAAGTAATAACTTATATTTAGAACAAATATAGATCAATGAGCTTATTAATTTATTTTTATAATTATTCAATTTTAATACTATTTGATTCAGACTGAAAATTGTATTATTAATCCATGATATTATATTTATTTTTAATATGATATTTTAAAACATTTATTCATTTTTGTCATCTATACTGTATATTTTAAGTATTATTAATTTGCCTGTATTTTCATCTGGGCTCACAATCATTTTTTATTTGATAATAAAAATAAAAATATGTTGATTAATAATTATTTTAAAATCATACTCTTAATTCATATTGAATATTATGAACACAACTAAATGAATTTAGGAAATGCCTTTTATAATTACGATCATTACATTTAAAATTTGTATAGAATTTTTGCTCTCTCTTTCTCTGTATTCAATAATAATGAATATTTGTAAAAATTGTTAAGTAATATGTAATATACTTTTATTGTATATCTTTTCATCTGAATGCAACAAAGATGTTAAATAAATTGTAAATTATATTTATGGTTCTTAACAAAATTATTTAATAGAAAATTATTAATTTATTGTTACTCAATGACATTAATATAATATATATCTATGTCTAATTAATTCAATAAAATGTTATATTATTATATATTTTTAAAACTGTTAAAAAAAAAAATTAGTGTGTTTTTGTATACTTAATGTTGCACTATGTGTGTTGAACAAATTGCCGTTAATTGTGATAATTATAATGCAGTATTAATTTGTTATTATTATTATTATTATTTTTTTTTTATTTTTACTGCAGTTATAACAAAAGTTCATTAAAACTCTTAAGTTATACATTTTGTTTTTAATGAATGTATGCCGTCCTTATTTTATTTTGTATTCATGTATTAATTTAAGTATTTAATGATTGTATCTTGTAAGTTTTATACCAGTTGTGCCATAGTTTGTAGGTGTTGTATAAAACAACAGTTAAGATAATTTTAAATTAGATATGTTCTAATATGGTATTCGTGTGCTGTACATGCATAGTACTTTTATTATGTAAGTAAAAATGAAAAGGTAACTTAATTTTCATAAAAAAGATCATTTAATAATACTTTATGTCATAAGTTTTTTGTAATTTATAATGTCTATGGATACCCAATATTTTTAATATCAATGTATGTTATAAATGCCATTTTAGAACTAATGAACAAAATATTTGGAAGAATTTGTAATATTTTGTAGACATTACATTTAGTTACTAAGTCAAAACATTAACAGAGTTTAAAATCCGTCCGTTAATATTAAACTATACATGTGATTAGTAATAAAATATTTATTGAAAGTATTTGTTTAATTTATATTAAAAAATTGTTCTATTCAATTCAGTATAATCCAAACCATGGATATAATCAGCTACCACGACATATTTCATTTGGTTTGACAAAGTACAGGAATGGCATTAGGGGTTGGCGAGCTGGTGCTACAGCCTCCCCCTTCCGTAAAAAAATATACAGTAGTATATAACTTATAGTAATCTATGATATTATTACTTAAACCCAACCCATGTACAAAATATACCTACCCCTAATCCTAGAAAAAAATCCCTGCAAAGTATAAAAATTAGTTACTACCACCACCCACTTAGTGCAAAATAATGACCAGCCACATTATTGTATTATAAATACAACTATCACAAATATGCTTGCTTTCCTCTCAATTTATCACTCCTATTATTATTAATTATTAACCTATTAACTACTAATTAGTAATTAGTTATTATTTCTTACATATCTTCATAAGTTTATTTTTACTCATTTGCAAGTTACAGTCTCTTATTCTCTTATGATTATAAACTTATACCTCAAGCTTAACACTGATACACACACTAAAAATATCAATGCTACAGATTATATTTATTGTTAAATATGCCGCTTGAAATAACATAGAATAATATGAATTATTATTAAGTAAAATGTCACATAAATTATATTTTATTTTTATTTTTTATACATACTGAAAATGAAAATTAGGTATTAATTACCTATAAATTGCTTACCTACTTTATAGTGGTTTTAGAAGAAAACAAAAGAATAAAATTAAATAAATAGTAAATACGTATTATTATACCAATAAATGTTTGATCTTAAAACAAAAAACCATTTTTATAAATTTATAATTTCAAAAATAGATGTTTCTAAAAGGATTTGCGAGGACATTGGTAATTTAACTATCTTAAAATTTTATAAGAAGTGATTTAAACATAAAATCACTTTTAAACACTGAGAGGTATTTAACTTCATCATATTTTTAATGTCAAATAGATTTATATGTCAATACACGTTTTTATATTATATAAAGATGTGCATTGATAAAGACAGAAAATATTGATATCTATAATATCGCTCTATCACATCATAGTATCCAACTGTCTTAATAGACAACTGATCGGCTGTTGTTTAATTTGTATATTTGTAAGATTTACAAACTAGAGTATCAACTTATCCAACCGACTATCACCATAGTTAAATACAGAGGCAAACCGCTCATAAAAGTACGTGTTTGGTGTCACTGGACATAACTGACAGTTGTATTATTTGGACTAAATAAAAAAAAAATATATACCACAAATGGGTAAAAATTTTAGCCCTAACTATTATTATTATCGAATTGTGTTTGTAAACAATTATACCTATTGTATTATGATAAAATTATAGAAGAACAGTTATCAACTATTGATTTTAATTTAATTTTTAATAAAATGCAATAATAAACATATTTCGGTACTAGTTGTATACATTTTAATTTCAAACTTTGGAATGCTTTATTATATGGGTTTTAAGACTAAGAGATGAAGACCTAGGTAGTACAGCGCTCTAAAGTATTGACTATTGAACTATTGACAGAATATGGACAATTTATTATTAGTTTAATTAAATAAATCTTTATGTATTTAATTAATTTTGTAATTTGTTTTAAGAACAGTTGTAAGAATTTAGACCCAAATTCATCTTTGTAAATTCAAGTTATGCCACTGTACAAAGTATAATTTATTTATGAGATTTTTTAAGATGATGAACTAACAAGTGATGACACAATGACACATGAAACCAAGATTCATTTTCCAAACAATTCGTAAGCTGATGGTTTATTAAAAATCATAAAACATTGATGTTCAACAATTACTGAATTTATTTGAAATCATGTCAGTTTACCATTAGATATTTTCAAAATTCCAGTAACAATAGACCAAAAAATAATACATATAGCCACAATTCAACTGAGCATTATTTTTGCCACAAAATAATAATAATAATAATAATAATAATAAAAAATACATAATATAATTACTTATAGTTAAATATTTAAATCAAATCCCTAAAAAATAAAAACCAAAACACAAATTAAAGGAAGATCATCATGAGAATTGACATCATTTAACAGGCTACATATTCACTTGTCTTGCTAGTACAATAAATACAATTTTGACCAAATGTAATTGGACTACATTACTATTTACTATACGTATAATATAAACTCTTAGTTAAATACATTAAAACTTATTTCTTATGCATAGTTACCAAATTCATTATTACATACCCAGTTTTCAAATATTATAAATATAAGTATAGATTAGTGTTTATATTAATAGGTTGGGTAAAAATTGTATAACCGCTCAGTTTCTTTGTAGTCTGTGATTAGGCCGAAATCCCTTTAGAATACCTCTTGGGTGATTTCATGTCTCTTGTTATCACATTTTTCTAGTTGTTCATCCCTCGAACTCTAGAGATCAGTCTTTTTTTTCACATTGAGCGCTTTAAAAAATGTCCACACAAAAATTTAACCAATTTTTAACATTGACCTAAAAAAATACATTGCGTCCAATTATTATTATATTTCTGTTTAACAAACTCAATAAAAAACTTACTCTAATTGATTATTTTATTAAGCGGCTTTTTGGCTAGCTTGTAAACTTTTTAATGCACTGTCACAGTCAGTAGTATCAATATCATTTAAATTCAATCCTAAGCGCTCAATTTCAGCATATGTTCCAAATGGTATTTTTCCCAAACATTCCAATTTAAGAATATGCATTTTGGATCGTAAATGTTTAGCTAAATGCCCATGAATTCGAAAACCGACTTGGCAATCAGCACATTCAAATGGTCTTGGATTTTTAACAATGGGCCCTTGGGTGGACATCATATTCACCTGAAAAAAATAATATCAATTAAAAACTAAAACTTACAAAGAATTTAAAACAATAATTCTCACCTTATTCAAATGTGAGATAGAGTCCAAATGTTTTTGAAGCAAATGTTTAGTTCGGAATGATTCTTTACAGCCTTCACATCGGAATGGTTGTTCAAAATAATGTATATTAATGTGCAATTGTAATTGACTAGGTTTATTGAATACCTTATCACACACCATACACTTACTTCGTCCATCTTCTAGAATACTAAAATCCATAATTATTTATTAGTAACAGTTATATTGAGCATATTTTTACGGCAAAACATGACAAATACCTGGTATATTTTTGTGATGGACCATTTGTCGTAGGTTGTCTAAATAATGCTTTAGGTTTTTTAGGGGATTGCAATATTACTTGTGGTTTATTAATTTGTTCTGATTCTTTACTACCTCCAAAACGTGAAAGATCCATTGGTTTATTAACTGTGGTTTTTGGACTACTACTCAGAATTGCATT